AGCTTCATACGGTGTCGGAACTTCATCAATTGCACCTCCACCGAAAATATTTTCGTCGCCGCCCAAAACGGGTTCTTCAGTTTCTTCATCTTCGCTTGAATCATCATGAATTTCTCCCCATCGATTTTCAGCGTCAATATCAACAACCAATTCCGGTATGTTTCTCGTCTCATACTCTGCTGCTGTAGATGTCCCCCCGACTTCATTTACACTTTCCAATAGTGCCCTAAAACTGTTCGGGAACCTGTATGTCGGCTCCTCAAACTGACTATATAAAGCCATTTCAGATGGATTTTGAGCCACACCTCTTGATGACCCAGGAACATCACATATGTTACGCACATCAACAAATAATTCAATAACTGCTATATTGGTTGACTCATGTAATCCAATCATGGTTCCAATATCATCATCTTCTTCAAGTGGAACTGCAGCATATCTGACTGGGTTAGAGCATATCATAAACCTATACCTCAAACCATCAACTGCAGCTCGAATTTTTCTTTCTATCTTATGATTCATTTCTATAAATGTGATGTCTTTTTTGAACATCATATTTATTGGTTTTTCAGACTGAAAAACTACTCCGACCTCATTTTCCATAATCTGTCCATTATAATGGACAATCGTGAAAAAGTTGCTGCTCATTTTCTCTACAGATAAAAAAATAAATTAATTTAGATTAAAAAATTAGATAAGATAATTTCATAAATTATTAAATATAATATAATATACTATTATATTAATGATCAAATAAAATTTATTATTTAACTTGATTGATTGCTTACTAATAAACCTAATAATGATTTGATAATTACTATTAATCTAATGATTTGATATTTAATGATTTAATAATAATATGATTTAGTCATAATCACTAATAATTATTTATTATAAATATTTAATGATTTAGATTTGATACTAATCATTTAGTAATTATTACTAATAATAATGATTAGTTTGATAATATTTTTTATTTTTTAAAAATATCAAACAAATTTGTTAGGCAAAACTGTCGAGATAATGTTCTCGAAATAATTATTTCGCGAGATAATGCGTTGTCCGGATTATTTCATTCAATTATTTTTTACTTCTTACTAATATACACATACAATGTAAATTAAACAAAATATTTTTAAAACAACACTAAATATTTTTAAACACAATATTTTTTAAAACGGAAATTATCTCGCACAAATTAGTTTATATAATCTAATATAAACTTACTAACTAACTAATTTACACATACACAACAACAAAAAATGGACAACAAAAAATAATAAATTACTCACGTCTTTATGCCTTCTTCCTTTACTTTCTTTTCCTGCCTTGTTTCTTTCTTCGAATCAATCTGTACGTGGGCAAATATTGTGAAATAATGTCATGTATGTGTAAACAAAATATTTATTTAAACAACAATAGCTCCCACAAATTAATTTTATATAATCTATATATATAATATACTTAAACTTAAACTAATCTATTATAATATAACTTAGTTAAAATAACAAACTAATTAAGCACTAATTAATTTTTTTATAACTAATAACTTCAACTTCAACGAACAACCTAATATACGTTTAAAGACACTAACAAATTAATTAATATTTTTTATATTTAATAACTTAAACTAAGAAACTAATTAACTAATTTTTTATATAATATAATATATAACTTAAACTAATAAACTAATATAATATAACTTAAACTAACAAACTAATAATTTATACTAACAAACTAATTAACTAGATTTTAATTTTACCCTAAACCCGAAACTAACAAACTAATAATTTCATATAATAAACTAAATTAAACAATAAAAAAATTACCTCACGAACTATGTTTGAGCCTTTATCTTCTTTTCTTCTTCTTCCTTTTCTTTCTCTCGGCAAAGTTTATATGTGCTGGTTCTGCTTGTGCTTCTACCCTAAACCCCATATCCTTTATATAAAGCAACTGAGCGTTGGACAGAGTCATTAAATTTGATTGTTGAAGCAAATAATATTAGCATTGTCGTCTAACTATTGAGCATTGAAAGGCTGACAGCTAAATTAACGCTGCAATAACGCAACTATAGATGCAACACATACAGCTACGGGTGCAGGAATCTCTCAGCTATGATGCAACGCATGCATGCAGCTACATCAACTACAGGACCAGACCTTGGTCGCCGAGACTCCATGGCGACCTACCTACCACGCCGCCGTGACCTACACCGTTCGACGTGCATGGCCATGCACAGTTCCCACGTCCCATGCACAGCATGCATCTGCATGGCCATGCACAGTTCCCACGTCCCATGCACAGCATGCATCCCCTCCCCCATGCATTCCCACATCCCATGTTGATTGCATGGTGACCTTTGCAAAATACACACAGGGCGCCCGAATGCCATGGCGACCTTGGAGGTCGCCCGGATTGCATGGCGACCTCCAAGGTCGCCTGGATTGCATAGCGTCCTATGGCGATCACTGTAGAATTTACCCCATTCCAGCAATTAATCTGGGATGTGCACCATATCGTGAAAAAAAAAATTCGAGAACATTATCTCGTGAATTCACCCATTACCAAGTCTAGCCTTAAAGGTAGGCAACCGTTCAGAAACATTTATCAGATGATATTTTTCCTGTTTGATTCTGTTAAGTTTTCAAGTTCAAATATTCCTTGTCGGATTAGAATAGATTTTGACATTAAACGGTGCAACCTTAAGATTCCATTTAATGAAATCTATGTATTTGTATGAATTTGGTTCATACACACACACACATATATATATATATATTCATTTCTCCAAGTTCATATTCATTAAGTTGATTAATTACTGAAGTTATAGCTCATTTGCAATTTTGTTTGGTTTTCCTGTGCAGGTGTTCTGGTAAGAATTATATTTCATGGCTCCAGAAGCTATCGATTCTGCTCTGATGTCGTCGCATATCGAGACCTTAACTTGGTTGTCGACTGAACATGTAGAGGAAGCGGGTCCGGCCGATACTTTACCTATGTCGGAAGCTCCAGCGTGTTCTTTGTGTCTAGTAGTTGTAACCAGGTTTCAAATTACGGTCTGAAAATATGATAGAGCCCGTGAATTAGTGGTTTCGCCGCCGTCCAAGTTACCCATTACACCCGTAATAGCGCCCAATAGCGCCTGTGACGACCACAATCACGGTAAACCCGAAATGACCGAAAACGCGACCGCTACCACGATTTGAAACCCTGGTTGTAACATTCCTGAAACCACTGCCTTCTCCGAGTAATATCGGTACGAGAAGTAAGTATTCGAGAAGGCCGCTTGAGTAATATCGGTACGAGAAGTAAGTAATACCTGGTTTGGGTGTTTTGAGTTCGTATAAACATCAAGTATCGAAACAAGTGAAAACAATCAAGATCATAAATTCCTCACCTAGAAACCAAGTAGGATAACATAAGATATGCCTTTATGTGACAGTAGGGAAACAGTTAGGACACCCGAGTTACTTTAGTATTATGACGATCGACCTTTTTTGTAGATATCCATATGATGTCTATTGGTATGCATCCGATGCACGTAAATTTCGGGTCGGTACAAATTTTGATGCACGAAAATTTCGAAATCACACCTCATCCTCGACTAGGTCCAAGATGTGAGCTTTCTATGCAATGCATGCAACTTTAGGTCCTCACCCCGACTTTTCAAGAATCTAAGGTAGACTAAAGGCTATAAGTTTCGATGCACGTAAATTCTGGTTCTTATCTCGAAGCTATCACGTTTTAGATAGATTAGTGTGTTGTCCGAGAAGCACGTAAATTCCTCCGACCACACCACTTGGCCTATCTCACGCCTATTATGTGTTTTCATGCGCAGGTTAAAGGAGGATCGTCGAGGAGCCTATCGCGTCTGTACATTCCATACTAGATGTTTTGCAGAGTATGTCTTGAGTAAATTTAGAAGGCACGTATTGTATATGGACCTTGTACTATTCGAGTCATAACTCTTTTGGTTTAAAACTAAATGGATATATTTTAATTTGGGAGACTCTAGTATGTTTTGTAAACTTTAAGTATGATATCAATTATGCTAGGATGATGAATGATTTGGTAATTATAAACGTTTTTGAAAAGAAATTTTCGGGTTGACCATCTCGGTGGTTCTTTGTAACATCGTAATCTATAGATCTTCGAGTCGGACTAAATTAGGGTGTTATAGATTCGATTGTTCTTGAGAATCGACAACCCGATTGTCTTAGAAACAATAATATGTTCTCTGTCCAACTATGAATTTTTTAAATATATTTTCCTTAAAAGTAACTTAGAATAAACTACATATTTAGTACCTAAATAATTAATTTTGGTTTATTTCAATACTTAAACTTTTAATTTTTTTCAAAACAATATCTAATATTTAATTTTTATTTCATTTTAATACTCCACTCAAAATTTTAAAAAAAATCAACTATTGATGGTGGTTTGAATGATCCAATTGTTCTTGAGAATCGACAACCTGATTGTCTTAGAAACGATAATATGTTCTCTAGTCAGACTATGGATTTTTTAAATATATTTTCCTTAAAAACTTTAGCATAAATTATACATTTAATACTTAAATTATCAGTTTTGATCAATTTTAATACCTAAATTTTTAATTTTTTCAAAACCATATGTAATGTTTAGTTTTTGTTTTATTTTAGTACATCACCATTAAAAACTTAACGTGCTTATCTAAACTATCAATTTTGGTTCATTTTAGTATCTAAACTTTCAATTTCTTTCAAAACTTAATGTTAAATTTTGAACGGATACTAAAATTAAATAAAAACTAAACTTTTGTATGGTTTTAAAAAATTAAAAGTTTAGATATTGAAATAAATCAAAATTAATGGTTTAAATATTAAATATGTAATTTATCCAAATAATTAATACGGATTTACACACTAAAATGGAAGTGGTGACTAAAATATATTAATTTATTAATTAAAAAATTGAGAAAATGTATCGACTAATCCGATTTGAACTGAAAGCGGCAATTCCAACCCTGTTCTTTCATCGCCGTTTTCAAATAAAAACAAACCCAGAAAAAAAAAAAAAACAATCCATTCAACATGGCGGATACACAACCATCGGACTGCCAGGAAAACGCCGGCGAGGTGTCCATACCGGTGGCTCCAGTCGATGCCGTCGGACCGAAACGCCAGAGACGACCCAGCGTTCGATTGGGCGACATCGGTGGCGACTTACCGCATGATACTCATACTCGGAGACAGTCCTCTTCTGCCTCCGCTTCCATCCCCAAGCAATGGAAACACCATTCTTTAAACCCCTCAGCCGCCGCCGCGAGTGGTAAATCCTCCAAGAATCGGGCCGTAACCAATCTCAGCACCGAGTTCAACACCAAGAACCAAACCCTAGATGACGCAAGAGAACCTAACAACAACAACGACGACGACACAAACAATTCGGATGGCGTGGCAATCGGTGGCTGGAGAGTCAAAGATTCCATGAAACGGTGCTCCGCCGCTGCCAAACGGGTCCGCTCCAATTGGGTTTCGAACAGCAATGTAGAATGCGAGGACAAACGCAGTGGCAGTGAAGATACCGCCGATTTCGACAGGGAGAACAGCGAAAGCCCCTTGAGAGAGCAGAGTCATCATGGGAATAATCAAAGAAGGCCGATTGGAACTAGGGTTTCGGATGCAAGCATCAGACGGCACGAGGAAGATGATGGGATTAGAATATGGTTAGAAAGTTTGGGTCTTGGCCGATACGCCCCTGTTTTCGAGATCAATGAAGTAGATGAGGAGATTCTGCCATCGTTGACACTGGAAGATTTGAAGGACATGGGAATCAATGCAGTTGGTTCAAGAAGGAAACTCTTTAGCGCAATCCAGAGGCTCGGTAAAGGCTTCTCATAATCTTTTTCTTCATTGTTACAGCCTCATAGGACTTCTTGAAACCAGAATTTTGCCAATCATTGTTATAGCCTTATGTAGGACTTTTTGAACCCAGAATTTTGTCAGCCATGGCAATGGCTATGTAAGAATTTGAACCCTTATTAGCTGTTTATCCTCTTCTTGATGTAGTTAAAGTAGGGGAATTTGTAGAATCTTGTTGTGCAATTTTTTGTGTGCAATATGCTTCTGGTAAGCTAACAATTGTTGCAAACTGTAATGGAAAACATGGAGATATTATTAGCGTTTTTCCCTTTTGGTTAAAGTAAAGTATTTCACGTAAGGATTCAGTATTTAAACATGGACTATTCGTTTTCATTAAGAAAATTGAATTTGCTCGTGTTAGACATATACTATATCTGACACTTGAGTCCGGGTAACATAGCAACGAAGCAATCACTCAGACGTGTTTCTTTACTCCGGTTGTTAAATGATTATTTTGTTCTTTTGAAACTGTTTATTTGAATGCACTTTAAGACTACTTCAGATAACTTGGACTCTATCTGTAAATGACATGATCCTAGGTTCATGTGTACTTTAACCTAGTATTCTTTAACTCCCTCATCATTTTAATTGTGTTTTAGGATCAATATTGCATAGCCTAGAATTTAGTGGTAGGTGGATAACTGTGTTCTATAGCCTAGAATTCACTGGTATGGTATCTAATTCTCTGTGTAGATAAGCAATTAAGTGATTAGAAGAAAAAACGGAGTTCGAACCTGGCTATATGCTCTATGCTGGATAAGGTAACACGATTCACTTGCATAATATCTTTTGTTGTGTCTCGAATTCACAATCGGAACACATTTTAGAGCCATCGTGAGGAAATGGATTTGGGATTTTCTATGAACGGAAGAGATTTAGGTCGTGCATGGAAGGTTAGAGCCAGTGAGGATAGCCAAAGGAGACTGCCCAAATCCCCGATTAAGCGAGGACCTTTCACTCGAAAATCCAGATCAGACTCGGGTATTTTAGGCAAGTCATCCTTGGCTACCTTACCAGACTCTAGATCTCCATACAAGGCCTCTCTTCCTAGTGTGAGTTTGATGAAAAAAGCAGTTGACAAAATCCCCCAATTTATAGCCATTGGAAACCGGAGGATCCAACAGCTGCGAAATAGCTAATTCAAGATATCTCCATTTCCCTTATTTGTTGGTTTCTTTTTTGACACATAACGAACATTAAAACACCAACGTGGCCTTTGACAGAACATATTCCCCGTGAACATGAACAGAGAATGCATGATAAACGTTCAGTCTTTGCTATTTATGTTGTTTTCAAGTTTCACCACTGTCCTCCATGATTGAATATCACACCATGTAAATTCTTTTAGTTTTACATTTTTTTAGGATCATTGTTGAGAAAATTAAAGTTTGAAATTAACAGTTGAAAATGAGAATATGTTCACTGAAAATTAAAGTTAAAATTTATTCGATATAAACTTTCCTTAATAAGATTCTCTTAATTAGTCAAATAACCTTCGATGTTCATTGTCACAATCAATAAAGTTTTGGGTAATTCAAATATCACATCATTTTTTACACTGTGATTTTCAAAGTCAAGAAAAACACTATTTTTGGCATATTTTTTATTTAACAAATTTTCTTTGACTTTTTTTTATTATATTTTGAATTAATATTCCAAGCTTCTTGAGTTCAAAAGTATATGTTTTTCCCACAAGACTTGGACTTATCAATACATCACTTGCATTCAACTTTATACTATTTTGGTCCTTGCATTCAACGCCCATCTATTTTCCCACATTCTTATTCTTTTTAATCAATTATGGATTTTAAATTCAAATATGTTATACGAAATGAATTGTTGAAAGAATAAATGATGAAATCCTACACCCACTCAATTGGCATCCACCAAAGAAAGTATAGGAGAGGAAATTTGGTAAGGTGTTGGTACTTTTGTTTGTGTTTCTAGGGTAAATTACATGTTTAGTCACTTAATTATTTTCCTAGTTCTATTTTGATCATTCAATTATTTTATTTTATAAATTTTTTCACTAAATTTATGTTTTTGTTCTATTTCAATCACACACCAGTAAAAAATAATTATAATTATTGATGACTTTTTATTTATTTATTCAATGATGATATGTCATTATTTTTGTGATGATATGTTAACATCAATGCTAATTTTTAATAATGGATTATCAAAATGAAATAAAAATATAAGTTCAATGATGATATGACGTATTTTAATAATGTATTTTATTGACCTAAACTTTTATTTCTTTTCAAAAATAATTAAAGTTTAGTTTTTGTTTCACTTTATTATTTCATCGTTAAAAATTTAATGGACAGGCTGACAAGGCATAGTCCAGATGGACGGACGATCAATCCGAATGGTGGACCACGAGAGAACGACGAGTCAACCAATGTAATCTAGTTTTAAGTCTATCGGTTGGTGGACCACGGAGATAAGAGGATAAAGAAATCGAAGAATCCATCGTTGAATTAGGAAAATTGAGGCATTTTCGATGAAACGGAGGTTGGAATCACGTTTAGGGGGTCGAAAATGTACGGGATAGAAAATTTGGGCTTCATCAGCCGACGAGTGTGAAAGTCAATGACTGTAGACGTGATGGTCGGCAAACTCGTCTGTTAAGACTTTAATGATAGATACTAAAATGAAATAAAAACTAAACGTTAAGTATAATTTTAAAAAATAAAAAAGTTAAGTACCTAAACAAATAAAAATGATAATTTAGATACTAAATATGTAAAAAAATTACTTTTTAGGGTTAATCCGTGTCTAGCGGGTCCATTTTAGGTCTAATTGATCTAATTACTAATTGGTTTCCTGTAAGTAAAAATATTTTCTTTTTGGATTTTTATGTATTTAAAAATAATATTTTATATCAACTTATTTATATCAAATGTTATAATAATTAGAAAATAATGATGTAAAAATGATCAAATAATATTTTGGAAAAAATATCATATAAACGGTTAGGAAAATTATTTTCTCATATCTGGTGTGAATCTTGTATTTTTTGTATACTCTTGTAGCATGTCCCCCCCCCCCTCTTAGGGTTAAATTTTACATCACATATTTAGATTCAAACGATGGTTATTTAGTTATTATCTTGATATATCACAGTTTTGGACACTCAATCCAGCTCAGTTGGTAGAGTACAAGGTTCTTAACATTGAGGTCGTGGGATTGAGTCTCACGGAGGGCATTTCATAATTCGGAGGTCTTCTACGGAAACTGCTCTTAACCTGGTATTGGGGGCAACCTACTATCTTACCTCCCTCTTACCCCATTACATATAGGAACAAGGGACATCCATTTTTTTAATCTAGACATTAATAGGCAATTGCAATAATTAAAGATAGATCACGATTAAGTTACGATAATACAAGTTCGTAAAATTCACATAGAAAAAAATCCACATAGAAAAAACATAAAATTTAAAACTCAAAAGTTTATAATACATAACAGGAACATAAAATTTATAAATTCAAATTATATAATCTAGAAATAAAATATAAAAACATAAATTGAAATTATAAAATTACAACTAAATTTAAAATATTTTAAGATTAAAATAAATTATTTAAATATTAAGATGAAATAATTTAAAAAAATAGAGATTTAGAATGTTAGGATAAAATAATTTTGAAAATAGAAACAAAAAATAATTATAAAATAAAAAAGAAAATCGGGTCAATGGGTATTCGATTAAGAGTACTTTTGTGATCCAAATTCAATCCGGAAACCCGCCAAAAATAACGTGTCAGGTATCCAACCCACAAAATCGGATATTCATTCTAGAATACTCGTTAATTTTATAACGGGTCAAATATTTTTAAACACCCCTATTCTTTCCTTTATGTAAGTGTTGAAATAAGAAATATTGGTTAACATGCCTATAATGCTAATAACTATAAAGTTTAAGGGTCACTTTAATTCTTGTAATAGACTTAATTTATTAATTTAGACCTTAAACAATTACGTCATCTTATACACCAAACCATAACTTAAAACCCTACATCATAGATCCTAAATCCTAATCTCCATCTTATAAACTTTAACCCTAACTTAAAACTATAAAGAATAGTAAATATTTTAACATTATACAATTAAATAACTTTAAAAATTAAATTAATACGAAAATACTATATAAATAATAAATTAAATCTACTACACGTACAAATATGAAATAACCCATAGGCCTAACTATAAATGTTGGATGCATAAATTGCTTTGTCGCTTCAACTCTCTCCTCCTTCAACCCACTAACGAACCTTAAATCCAAAGTATAAAGGTTGGATTATTATTTTATGTAAAGTCTGTATTTATAAATCCTTAATTCATAGTATAAATCTTTAAGTCTGTATTTGGTTGTGATCTTCTAAGAAAATATATTTGCTCTTGCCGTGAAAATTCTCTGACGGGATAATAGTAATAATATAAGTTAACATATTTCTCGGGGACCACTACCTATTTATATAGATTTAATATTAGATCAATCTATTAAATATTTATAATATTGTCCCTCATCAAATTATAAATATAAATTATGGTATCTACACTTTAATTCCATGACACTTTAGTACCCATGACACATATATATATCCATAAATATGAATTTTAATCCAATAATGTGAAAATTATAAATTTCGTGTACTAAAAAAACAAAAGTAACTCCTAAACCTAAATGCTATCATCCTTAATTTCAAATATATCAACCATGATTTCAATAAGAAGCTTGTCTTCAATGTATTTTTCCATGTTGACATTTTCATGTAAGATGAAACTCAAAGTTCTGGGGTTCAACGGAAGGCGGTAGAATTCAAGGATTAAATCAGTATTTTATCGAAAATCTAAGAATAGACTTAATATTTTATCTAAAATATAAAGATCGAATTATTATTTTATGTGAAATTTAGGAGTCAAATTAAAAATTAACCTTATTTGCTAACGTGTAATGCTATCAAACTGATAAAATTTAATATCTCACTGATCAAAACTTTATAAACCGTAAACCAAATATTTAAATGACTAAAACGTTATTTTTGAAAAATTACATGATAAAAAATAAACATTTATATAACAAAATGACAATTTCAGTAACTTAACCATAATAACTGGGGTGATTTGTTCAACCAAATTTCTTGGAAACTTTAAGGGCGACTTTGAAAAGACTCTCCATTGACATTTTGGTTTTTGTCCACACCTTTTTGAAAAGCCCGAACAATAAGTTCCTTGTCTATTAAG